GAGCATTGTTGTTTTAACTCGCGCTTGCTTCGGTTTGGGAAAAACTCGACTCGCGAGCGCATCTTGAACGCATCGCGCTGGCTTAAATAAGGCGCCCGACGAAAAAAATTTTGTATAAGAACAGAATTCTAAACTTAGAATTTATTCCGAAGTGCCTTTCCTACATCGGGAATCGCCCTCGCGCTGCTGCTGCTGCTTGACGTGTTCCACGCGGCATCTTATTTTTGGCGTGCGCCTGTTCTGATGCGGCACTTAAAAAAACAACTTTGCAATTTTCTATTTCGGCGATGAAACATTTAGGATGAAAAACACTTAGGGAAGACGTTATTCGATCTTTAATTAAATGAAATTTATGTTTATGTTAAATAAAACAAAATTTATACATTTCTATTTAGGTGTTATACCAAAAAGAGTGTTTTTTTTCTCAAATGTGTTGTTACAATACACGTGTAATCACGTGAAAAGTTTTGCGAAACACTTTTTTGAGAAATAAAATTGCGAAATTGATTGTTGAAAAAAATCTCTTATTTAAAATCAAGAAGATTATCGCGACGGGAAAGCGTGTAGGGTACGCGTTACATGCCAGCTTGCGTATTACAGGATATCCAATCGAAAGTTTTGATCGGTGATGGACGCGTCGCGTGGAAAAAAAAAATGCGTTAAATTCTTGCGAAACATCGCCTGTTCTTGCAAGAAACGATGATGATGATCAAGCTCAAGTTTCGCCACCTCGAAAACTGATTCGATCTACGTAATTATTATATTATGCGGCTTTCACATAGAGTTTAGAATCGACACGCCGCGTTTCGTTCTTCATGAGCAATTAACACAAAGAGCTATCTGACGAAGTCATTGCCAATCACGTTCGCAAGCAGGAATTTACCTAGGAGTATCGATTCGGGTTTCGACTAGGTAAGGCCAAATTATATCCGTTTCGTCTACGAGCTTGCGCGACTGCGAAATCGGAACAGCACTGCCGTTAATGGAGCGCATAATCCGAGTATTGCGTCACAAGAAGAAAGCCGCGCATTGATGGGTCTATTACAATGCAAAATGGAGAAGAGAATCTGCGAGGGATACGAACCCGTTGTTGATGAATTCGAATTGTCAAGAAATGTGAGAGAATCTTTTAATTTAGCGTTAACATTTTGTTTTTTTTATCGTTGCAACTAGAACGTTACACACAGGCGTTGCACTACGTGCGCGCCATCGATGACTACCGTAACTCATTTCCAAATCTGAAAAAAAAAAAAAAAACAAAAAACAAAATGTCTCGGCGAAAAGAAAAGTGTATGAGGCAACGCTGAGGTCATCGATGCGTAAATGCTGTACTTTGGCGAGCTGACACACAAACATCAAGCGCGATAATGAGACATCGTTTGACATTGTTCTTCCGAAGGATGCAATGTTGTCAATGCGACAACAACAATGCGATACCACTATCGCTAATGTGTTTTTTGTTTCGGGTCAATCGGCCCACACGAATATAGTTTTTAAACTTCGTTTATGTTTGTAAAGTTTTTTTTCAGCAAAAACAATAACGTTAAATCTATAAAAAAATGTGTAAAATCTTTCGCATTGATGTGTATAAAAACTTACTTTCTGATTTCACTATCTTCATTGTAATGTATGCGCGATAAAAACAATGATAAACGAGTCGAACTTTCTACGCGCTCGCTGACTTCCGGGGCGTTTCCGATGATGAGTAGAAAACATATCTCGGCGAGATGTAACGGGGCGAACATTGGAAAGGATACGTATCTCATTTTTACTTCCAACTGCGAAAGTCCGCGATTAAATCGACGAATTTTGTCTTGTCTATTTCTCATATTTTAATTGACATGAGACGCGAAGGCTGGCTTAGTTAAACCGACTGATAAAACAATTTAATAGACTCCTTCTTTAAGCGCGGATAGTACAGCGGCGCACAATCTTGGCACTCTTCACAAGCAGGATTCTGCGATTCTGATCATCGTTCTTATCTTGGGCTATAAATCATTCACTCTCACTGCCACTAGCAATACTTATCATGCACTAATTATATAGAAAGTCTGAAAATGCGAACAGTAATGACTTATTAATTATTAAATTTTTCAACGATACTAATTGCCGCGACGTATTTGTGTATTTTTTTTTCTCTCTTCACATCCAGAAATTAATTATTCGCGCGATAATACGTGTCTATCTCTTCCTACTCGCGATTTACTATTTTTCATTGTAATTATAACTGAGATGTAATATGAAGCAGCAGATTTATTTAATTTAAGTTATTTCTAAAGTCAATTAACAAGTGAAAGACTTTTTTATTCACTTGTTTGTCGATACAGATAATATCACACATATTGCTTCCGCTGCCCAAGTTGATACAAAAGAAAAAAGAAACAGGCAATAAATATTTTATAAATATATACGTAAGTAGATAAAAAAATCCGAGGTCTTCTATAAAAACGTTTTGCTAAAAATTAAAAAAACGAATGTCTTTGCCAAGACATCGACATTTATTTGTTCGTAGGAGTTGAGAATGCGGTATCCTTCCTCAGCGCTATCAAATAACGCGAGACTTTGCATTCTGCGCTGGTCGACGACGTTGCAGTACGACGGCAGCGTGTGGTATTCCATATCGAGATATGAAGAAAAAAAATTTCTCCCTCTACGTGACGCGAACACCTTCGGAATGGAATTGTTGTTGTGCGCAATTATTCGCACACAGGATGCGCATTTTCACTCTTATACAGGATGTTTCTCAATTGCACGTGTCTATATCTCAAAAGATATATATTTTCTTTCAAGTTTAACAACACTCGGAGTGTGTACAACAATTTGCACAGATTGTTTTTCTTCTTTTGTTTGCTGTAAATTAGAAAAAAAAAAAAATTGTCAATTAAACAACGTCGATTTACGTGAGTATAGTGACATAAATTGCACGTCGCGTAGAGAGTCTGAAAAAGAAATCTGTGTTCCCCCCTTACACATCAAATTCTGCTAATTGCGGAACTTAATAAAGTTTCGTCGGTTTTGTTCAATTCTCCGCTCGTTTTAACTCGTTCTCTCAAGGTGAGAATTCTGACTTTTTTTTTTTTTTTCAAAGTTCGATAATTCCTTCAAGGACACTTTTTATGTTCATGCTACTCACGCATTTGTGTGCTCAAGTGATCTTACCCGATGGAGAAATACGAATTACGAATAAAATCATTATTATATTATTCTATGTCTGGGTAGTGATGACTCAATTGATCATTCCTCAGACTGCTGAGAATTCAAATATTACTCAGAAAAAGATTGAGCAAGACACATAATTGTGTGTGTGTGTGTGTGTAAGAAAGAGAGAGAGAGAGAAGACAGAAAATGAGAATTACTCATGAATGATTATTACTAAAGTCGAATTATACAAACGATCCGAGACTCACACCCTATTAACTCATAATTTTGAGTCATAACATCAAGTAACGAAGAAAAATAAAAGTGTTTTTAATTTATAATAAAAACACTTGACACTCCTCCAGAAACGAATAGAAAGAAAAATTGCGCAAAGTTTAGAGAGCGTGTCGGGAAAAAGAAAATATATAAAGTATATATCTGACGTTGTTTTATTCTTCGCACACAACTTTACGTCGCACGTGTGTATTTGAGAGGAAGAGGATGGCAGAGGAAGAGACAGATAGAGAAGGAAGTCTGTCACACATGTGACGTATCGTAAGAGAAAATGACGCAGTAGCAGCGCGTGCAAAACGTGTCATTAAACGCAAGAGCGATTTGACGATTTATTCGTGCGTGAATCCAGGCACACGTGCACACGCGGGACTATATACGCTTGTGCAAAGCGCGGTTTGTCGAAAGTGGAAGCTGTTTTTTTTTTTTTTTTTTTTTTTTTCACACGCGTTAAACTGGGAAGTTTATCACAACAGTAGTTTATCATAACAGCGCGAAACGCAGACTGCGATCTGTGAAAAATGTGATCGCAAAAGCGGCATTACAAGTTGAAGCAAATAGTAAAATCTAAAAAAAAGAAAAAAAATAAAAAAAACCAGATCCGAATAAATCATATTGCACGCATGAATAGAGAAACTCAAATCGTTTCGCTATTAATCTCTGGAAACAATCCGGGAAAAAAATATAAACAAACAGATACAAATTTATATTACTCGCTTCTTTTTTCTCTATGTAAAATCTCTACGGAAGAACCACTCAAATGCTAGACGAGCGTTTCCACTTTCACAGTGTGTTTCAGAGTGTGTGCATCGATCTTTGATAAAAGTTTCTCACGATAGTCAAGTTAACTGTACTTCGATAAAAAAAAAAAAAAAGAGGAAGTGTTAAATTATTCATGTGTGTATTTAATTATATACATATATACAAGGAAATCGAAGGCAACGAACGTCTCGAGTGCGATCGAAGATATATGTTTAATTTATTGCTTTTTATATCGTTATCCGAGAAAATCGCGATTGCTTTAATCTACCTCGCAGGAAACTTAACAAACCGTATGTAAAAAAAATGATAGTTGTGTAAACAACAAGGATCACTCTAACGGCGAGTATATATATATGTATATTCTATATAACGGAATTCCACAAGTTTACAATTCGTATGTGCGTCATGAACGTGCTTATCTCGTATTTGTCCTGGATCACACAAACCGCGATTGCAACATCTACTCAACTACGGAACCAAAAACACGAAAGAGGAAGTGATACGACTTTTATGAATTTGTCATTGAAAGAGAGATAATTATATGTATTTAACATCATTCTACAAATTTTTATTACAAATTAAAATTCTATATTTTTAGATTTTTACAATTAATTTATTTAAGATTTATTTGCAAATTTCAGATTTGCTCGAGATACGAGTTCTTTGCACATGTTGCAAACACGCTGTATTACAGGTTTATTTGCTCCGAATTCCTCCGAAATACCTGGCGTAGTTTAAGTCACGCTTAAACTATGTTGAATTTAAGCATTCGTGTTAAACGCTCTTAAATAAAATCGAGAAGTCCTTACCTTGTCGAAGAATCTCAATGATTGTATCCGGCGTGACCGGATCACATGTCGCGTTCCTCCGGAAATACGATAATTCCCTTTGGGACGATAACAAATGCCTCTTCGATCAAGCTTCTTCTTGGTCACTAAATTAAAACATCGCACAGGATAGAAGAAATTTAAAAAATAAAAAAAAAAAACAGAAAAGAAGGAAGAACGCGCAGCGCTACGACTCGCCGACTGCGACTGACTGACTGACTGACCGACTCCACTGGGCCCGCCGCTCCGTTCGGCTTGGCGTGCACTGGTGTGTTGTACAATGTATTGTACAGTCACCGCATCAACACATGTATACCAGGCATCCAGTATACTTACTCCTCGCGTCCCGTCCTCTCCACACGTTTCCAGTTCCATTCCAAAGCCGACCCAACGTGGCCCCGTGCCTTTTGTTGCATCTTGTACAACGCTTTGCAACGCGTTGCTCGCTTCTGACCGGTTCAATGTTACTCTTCTTTCTGTGTATGTATATATATTTTATATATATACACACATATATATATATATATATATGTATACATATATAAGTATCTTTCGATCGCTTTATAAAACCATAGCGTAAATTTTATTTTCACAGATCAATCGGATATATTAAAATAGGATTAATGCCACGTTTGTTCATTTTGTATATTCTATTTATCACCAAAAAAATTTGTACAGTTTTATTTTAATGTTTTTTTTTTTTTTTTTTACTTTATTGTGCTTAGAACAAATAAAACTGAATAAACTAAGATTTTCTGCTGAAAAATTGCAAACTTCGTGATATTAAATATATAAATATTTCTATTTATAACATGGAACGCGCGCTCAAAAGTCAATCGTTCATTTAATTAAAGACTTTGAGACAAAACTAGACTCACTCTTTTGTTATTTAAAGCAGAAAAAAACCTGAGAGCGGCCATTTCATTGTATTTTCTTTTCAAAGCTTTCAGCCGCTAGTTTCAGCGCCATCCACAAAAGTAAATGAAGAAACTACTGAGCGCGCGACATCCAAGCGTAGACGGTACAAATGTCATTCGGTTTGAGTCTGTGCAATTTGTTTATATTATATCTACTTTATCGACAACAAGTAGCAAATTCGAATCAGTTCGTGAATCTGCTACCGTATCCAAATTACATGCAAAGTTAGACACAAATGTTAAGAACACTTCATACATAAAGATCTCGTCATATTCAAACACATCCTACCTAGAAAAATGTGTGTAAATAGTCACGATCGATTCTCTCGATATTGATTGTTGCATCCTTGGTCACGTGACTACGCTAAGGTCACTGACCTTGGTCGCGTGACTACGGTGAGGTCACTGACCTGGTCACGTGACTATAGAATATATATATACCGGTCGGAGTGTGATTCTATCCGAGCAGGGTGTGAATCTAACCGGTCAAAATGTGAATTTAATGTTAGGATGTGGACAGAAATAGAATCGCACGGTGTGAACATAGAGTGGAATAGAACCTTGTCCACGTTTGGCCATAGCGCACGCATCGACAAGTCGCTCTTAGACATTGCTACGTAGTTGCCAATGTGCATCATCTATAAACATAGCGCTGATTTATATGGCGGAAAAAGTATTACAGTTTTTCATATGGCATTAACCGCTCTTCTTTCCGCTAGAAGCTGAAGAAGTTGTGTGAGAATAAAATGACCTCTCAGGCTCCTTTCTGTTTAAACAATTATTGATGCAACTTCATTTAAGCGTATATATACGCTTTCTAACTGTATCACTGAAAGTATAAGAGCTATGTCTGCAAATCTTTTTAGTTAATTACCTACTTCCAGTAAACAATATTTTGTCTTAAAGACGTCTAACAGTTGTCTTACAATTTATTTAAACATCTTGTACATCCTGAAATTTTAATTTGTTTTTCGAACTACTCAGAATTAATCTAATGTTTTTTTTCACAATCACTCTCTCACATCCTGTTTCTGTTTAATAGTAGCATAGAAATTGCTTGCGAAGTAGCAAGGAAAAGCGAAAAGAAAATTCAAATAAAGAATCCTTACAAAAGAAATCAGAAAAAATATATCTCGCTATAAAATAAATGAAAAATGAGACAAATCGTGTACATATAGCACATGAAACAGAATTAAATAAATCGAGGACACAGTATGACACAGAACCAAATGTTTTAGTTACTGGTCGCGTGCGCAAGTTCATACGCATTAGATATTGGGCATCGCGACATTTGAGGAAACATGTAAAAAAGCTTTTTTAACTCACTGATACGTACATATAGTACAGAACATAAAAAAATAATGCTTCAACAACATTTGTCACAGCAGACTACTTCGGTTGCAGCTTCTGTCGATATGACAGATCCCTAATCTCTCTTAAAACATTTTATTTCTAGCAATAAATTTTTGTTTTTTTTTTTAGAAAACTGAGCGACACTTGTAGTTTCTTTGGCGCAAAAATGTTTACCAATATTTAAAAGGTAAGAGAGCTCGTTGAATTCGACAGATTCAAGATTATTCAGTATAGAATAAAATCTATAGCTATGTTATACAAACTTTTTAAAGCGTATCAGTCTATGTTTGTTACTCATTAATCTGTCTTCAGAAAAATATTTATAAAAATTTTATGTATATTTACATATCTCAAATAATTTTCTCAATTAATTAAAATTGATTATATTGCATTAATACAGTATTGAGCTAATATAGTATGTATTAAAGAGACGACAGTCTTTAGAAATTGGGTACGGTCTTAAAATTTGTTTCTGTTTGCATTATACATGAAAATTACGTTTATGTACATAAACATATAAAATAAATATAGAATATATATGTATATGTAATAATAAATGTGCTGAGAGTAAGAAAGATAGATGTCTATATACGTAGAGAGCGTTTTCCCATTTTGGTTATATTTGAGCGAAGTGATCTGCGCATGTACGTTGGAGTACCAGCAAGTTGACCTGGCTCGCGAGCCAAAGGGATAATCAATAACTTCTAGGATATATAAGGCTCCGTGCCGGTAGCGGACGTACCTCTCAGTTCTCGCGCGATCGCTCGCCACGAACTCTTAGTTTCGATCGACAACTGCTTTGTAGTCAAGTCGGTATTGCATTTGTTTCAAAAGTCAGTCTGGTATTTTCATCATCAGACACTGTATATTCGCAGTTAGTATTATTAGTTGGATACCGCTTCTCTCGTGTGTGTGTTTGTGTGAGAGTAAAACGGTAAGATATAAGAAACACCGTAAGTTATTGCAAGTTTTGTAAAATTTGTCGTTTGTCCAACACACCTTATCGTGATATCTATTTCGCAATTTCAGAGAATTTTGAAAATTCAGGAACGTTCTCTGTTGAAATCTTTTTTCCGACAATCTTGTCTCTCATTTTTCGAGTCTTACTAAATACTTGATTGATAGCCTTATTTTTTTTTTAACATTTTAATATTCAAGTAATTCAAGTTTCTTCTCTATTATCGTGCACGCAAGCGACTTTAATGAGCTTTTGTAATAATTAAATTTATTCAACATTTGTTTCTGAACTTTTCATTAATGTTTTTTGTAATCTCGTGTCTAGAAAAAAAAGTCGAACAAAAGTTCAGAGTATATTCTCTAGAAAATTATTTTCCACGAAATAGATATTATGATGTACGACAAGAAATAAATGAAACTATACATACAATCGAAACTTATGAAAAAAAAAAAAAAACTTCTTGCGAGATTTTGCAAACATATATCGATGATGTTGTTTCTCCACATGTTTTCGAATGTGTGGCATGGTGTAGGCCTCCTGGGGATCCCGCCATGTAAAACAACGGGAACGCGTCCGGGCACGGTACCCCCTGGGTGACGAGGAAAGCCGTGCGCTACTTAATGTTTCTGTTAATTACCGGAATTTTTATTCATAATTATTTTATTATTTCCCAGTGCCACTTCTCATCAAAATCCTTGTGGCAAAACTTGCATATTGCGCGCCGAGTGAGCCACGAGAAAGTCAGCGCGCGACACGCACACAAATGCGACAGCGCGATTTCGAGTATTCTCGGCGATAATCTAATTATTTTATTCATTCGCGAGATTTTTTTTTTAGTTCACCATTATTTTGTAATACATCATATACCTGGAAAGCCGCACAAGAGTGGCGTTCTACTTATTTGGGCGCGGCCTGCTGTATGCGCTAATCGACTGTAAATAAATGCTAAACAACCGTTCTGCGAAATAATTATGTTATACATCCTGTGAGTGCGCGTTTACGTTATCGTAATTTTCAATCTTCGTTGTTAGCGCATATATTTAATTCGTTTACTTGGTTTTTTCTTTTTAATTAACTCGATCTACACGCTTTGCTAACGACGAATACACAAAATATATGTACACGCGTTAACGGACGCACCGTTAAATCGAGTTTCGCCTAAGTTCCGTCTATACGTACGAACAAGACAAAGAATCTCACTTTAACGAGTGAAACTTGTATCTCTTAAGACTTATCGTTCAACTTGTTGCTACAATAAAACTACTGACGTGGCTGATGCGCCGAGCGCATTTATTAAATTCAGTGGAAAGCGTTATATTGCCAAGCAAAGTTAATGCGCGTTGGAAGCTCGAAATGCGCTATTGTTCGTCGTGAAAAAGCGGCGCGATAATCGAACACAGAAACTGTTGTGCCACATGATGGTGACACATGAGTACGTTAACGAAAAAAAAACGTTGGCATCTTCTGTCTCGCCTACTTACCTACTTACCATTCTTCGTATAGGCACACGTGCAATTTTGTCTTCTTCGAAAAACCGTTCGCAATGCCCTTTGGTTGTGCATGTATATCGCTAAAAAAAAAAGAAAAAAGTGCACGGTCACCGCGTCCTTGTTTCGTTAGCTTGTTTCCGCTGCTAATAATCTCTGATTGCTACTCACGATGATTGCGAACAAGTTGCTTATCGGCGTGGCGGTCTCGAATGAAAATAACAATGATTGAGAAAGGTAAATTTGAGAAGAACCTAAGGGGCACACAGTGCGGTGATATTTATTGAAGTCGAGAAAACGCAACCGAGTGTACAAAAAGCCGCGTTCGCACGTCTTTTTGTTCAAACGAGAATTACACGCTTGTTTTCGGGCATCCGCGTTCTTTGCGCAACACCATAACTTGCCAGCTATACGCGTATATTAAAACATATTTAATTTTCTTTGTATTGCAGATAATTAATTTTGAGATTAAAGAAACCGCTCGATTGTTGTTTATTGACAAATCTA